CAGCTAACATCTCTGAGCACTTTCTATATGCCCAACATACCCAAGGTTCTACACACACTATTTCATGCCGAGAAACAGGTGTAACTACCCCCATTTCCATCTGTGAGAACTGAGGAGCGGGGCCATTAACTCCTTCAGTGCTGCAGAGAGTGAAGACAAGGCGTTGAGCCTTGACCTGGCATTGGGCTCCACAGCCTACACCTCAGAGTCTGCTCTAAGCTATCCAGAGACACAGCAAGAAACTGGACCCAGGGCTTTCCTAAGTTTACTGCTAGGAAATGCCTCAGGTTAAGATGGTTGGCCATCCCATCCTGAAAGCTAGAGAGGGTTCTGCCAAACACCTGGCTTCTGTAGACCCCATATTCCTCTGTAGTCGAACTTTCTCGTGGGACTGTCAGCTCCCCGATAATGACACAGGGACTTATTATTAATTATGAAAGCTTGGCTGGTAGCTCAGGCTTGTTTCTCACGGGGACTTATTATTAATTATGAAAGCTCGGCTGGTAGCTCAGGCTTGTTTCTCACGGGGACTTATTATTAATTATGAAAGCTTGACTGGTAGCTCAGGCTTGTTTCTCACCAGCTCTCATAACTTAACCCACTTCTTTTAGTCTACGTCCTTTTATGTGGCTCGGTTACCTTTACTTTGCAATGCCCATGCTGTTTGCTCTGTGTCCCTGGCGGTTCCTCGCACCTCTCTCACACACCTAGATTCCTCCTCCTACTTCCTCTCTCTCTCTCTGCCCTGAAGTCCCGCCTATACTTCCTGCTTAGCTATTGGCCCTTCAGCTTTTTATTACACCAATCATAGAAATACACCTTCACAGAGAGTACAAATATCCCACAACATTCCTCTGCCAGGACCTTTCCTAGCTGCTAAGGAAAAGAACCCATGACCCAAACAAGTCAAAGGAGTGAGTCAAGGCCTCCCTCTGCAGGCTGAGGACAGACATGGGACCCCTAAGGCAACCTATGATGCATTTACCCTTTAAGCCATTTTGTTCATAAGGGTGAGAAACTTCTGTAAGTAAAAATGAAGTCTAGAAGGGCATGGTGGCCTATGCCTTTAATCATAGCACTTGGGAAATAATGGCCAGAGGATCATGAGTTCAAATACACATAACAATTTCCAGACCAATCCTGGTATTTACCTAGAGAAGACACCACAAAAAGGGAACACCTCACAGAGACCTGAGTGAGCTGCCATCACGTTTCTAGTTGATTTCAGTGAGGGGTTAGTGCTTTTTGTTCAACCAGTGTCTGTATCCATCCAGCCCCCACAACTCCTCCTAAATGTGCCTGGTTTTCTCTCCCGAGAAGAGTACATAGGCCTGGTGACTGGCTTGCTCCTCTGAAAACTTCCGAGGCCAGGGAGGCTGAGGTCAACAGCAGTCTGACCACGGGGATGGCAGCTGTTGGGTTTGGAGGATGTTTCTACATAAAATTAAGTGCTGCTTTGAGGGTTCAAGGTACATCCCCAAGGAAGGAGAGGAGAGTCTTTCTGCCTTGCTTCTTGCATCTGCACAAGCCTGGGCGATCTCTTGGCAGGAAGACTCAGTGCTTTAGGGGGAATGAAGCCACAGAAGAAAGCCGATCACACTGATCGAAAGTCGATCACACTGATCACAAGCCCAGGGCTGCTCTTTCTCCTGATGCCTGTGATTTCATTCTCTCGGACACCTCTGCAGCCATCAGGAGCTAGGTACACCAGTCTCCCCAGAGGGCTCCCCCAGTTCCAAGCCAGACAAAGAGTGTTTGGTAGTATCACTCTTCACTGAGTTAGGACTCCTTTAGTAATTACAAACTGGATCTTTGAGGCAACCAGAAAAAAGATAACTAACTTGCTTTTCTTGACTTAAAAAAAAAAAAGTTCCATGAAAAATCATAAGGATGTTTTTAAAGGGCATTGGAGCTCACGTTTCTGTTCATCTGTTGTTCTTTTTCTTCTTAAATTTCTTATAAACTATTTGGATGGAAGACTATCTATTAAAACAGAAAGGTCAAAATACTTTTCCTCCACACAACGAAGCCCCAACCTGTGCTGTTTCCTTTCATGGAAAGGTCAGGGCAGTGTTGTGGAGGGCAATGGTCTCCTTGCTTCGGTGTTCCACAACTGCCTTGGCTTTCTCTGTCACCTTTGGAGATCAGCCACCACATTGTGTTTAAGCCATGGAGATGCCAACTTGCTGAAAACCAAAGGCTCCCTCCATCAGGCAGTCCCAGCTTGCCACCATCTCAAAGACCTGTCTTGGAAGTGGGTCCGTCAGCCCCATGCCAGACTCCAGATAGTTTCCAGCTCCAGCCAACATGTGATTGTAACCCCTTGGGAGATCTTCCAGCCAAAAACTGCTCTCAGAGTCCTGACTCACAGAAACCAGGGGAAGATAATAAGCAACTAGGTTTTAGATGAACTTGTTAGGCAGCCTGTGGTCCATGGATCTGTCCTTTTGTGGTTAAGACACTGGTGGCTACTACAGTGTCTAAGTATGATCATTTAGGTAAACAATATACAATATCAGGGCAGAATTCAACGGGTATTATAAGAGGCATCGTCCCTCTAGATACTAGACTCCTCTGAATCTATATCCAGATGCGGGATTATATAGCTAGGAACCACAGTACTGGTTACATTCATACACTCTCCTCAAGCAAGGGCAGGACCCACTCTAAGGCTTTCAGATGAGCTGTGTCTCTTTAGCACCATCTAACTCACTGAGGAAAGCCCCCTGCGGTAGCCCTCCTGCTGATTTCAAAGCCACTGATTTCACCAGTGCCAACCCACTTCTACCATTACATGTGCAAACCAGCAAAGGCTCTGCTGGCGACAGAGACAATGTTCATGGAAAGGTCTAGAAGAGGCACTTCTGGAGTATGAGCTTCCTAGAACACTGGCTTTCCGCCAAAGGGTGTAAATTCCCACTAAAGACCCATGACTGTACCTGGGATATAATGCAATTCGCAAACTGCATATGAAGTCACTCTTCCTGGATGGAAGATGAATTACAGATGTTGTAACACCCAAGCTGTCTGTCTGACCTCACGTTCATTTCCACTTCCTCGTCCAAGTGCCACCAAGCCTCAATATTAACTTTCACTTCTGAGGAACTTTGCCCGCTCTAACAGAGAGATGGGCTTCCTCTCTGATACTGCCAGATCCAGCTGAGCGGCAGATACTCCGTGGCTCTTAGATCAGCTGCATTTAATCAACGCTAGAATGTCAGGTGCCGACATGCTCTGAATGCTCCCTCTGTGCAGGCCTCCTACTCAGCCCTTCTCATGCATCTGTTCATTGCATTTCTTTCCTCCGGCACCCTCTGAGAAATAATTGTCAGTATCCCAGTGGGAGAAGCTGAGAGATGCATCTCTAGTCCCATAGCTTTTACCAGAAAGAACCTCTTGAACAGATGAAAAAGCGGAACCAAGTGTTCCATGGTGATAGGTTCAGAAGGCTGCGAGAGGCTGAGAGGGACCTAAACGAGCTCCCCTACGTGAGTCTGGGCCGTTTCTTCAAAGAGGCACCCATGAAGAACGGAAGAGACCTGCCTTGATGGGGAGGAGTCTGAGAGTTAGATTAACTCAACGATTAGAAGGGGATGAAGAACAAATCAAAACACTGCAGTCATCTAACAGCACAATAAAGGAAATAACCGATGGCTTAGGTAATTACATCATGTTAACACTAAAGATACATCACTGTTGCTTTTCAACACCCACACCCTCAGAAAGACCTACTTCTTTTTTGATTCTTGCCTCATTTCCTCCTTTATGCTAAGTGATACCATTTATATTGCGTGATGCTGGACCCAACTTCCTTCTTGGCATCCTGCCTGCCTTCCTCAATTTTCTCATTCACGTATTGGTAAACCACGTGCTTGAGTGTATTTTACTTAATGTTCTAGAACAGATGGGGAGGGGGAGGAAAGTCCTCTCGCTTTCTAGGAACATTAGCCTCTACGTGAAGGCCTCAGATGATTGGTCCCTCATTAAGCTCTGGCTTTGACTCACACCCGTTCTCGTAGGTTGGGGTCAGGAGGTGTGGAAATGTGACATCTTGTTGCTCAGCACGTAAGCACTCTCCTGTAGACTAGGAATTTACTCCTTTGGGGCAGGAAGGGGGTCAGGCGTAGGGCTCAGGGCTTACTTGCCTCAGGCCTGGCCGGTCAAGGTCATTGTAATGATCCACATTAGACTGCTGCTGTGTAGCAGCGTGGGAACCTTTCTTCTGTTTCCTGCTAACAATTCTGAGAGGAGATGAGCCTGGGGTCAAATCACTCCTTTGCTATCACTTCAGTAGTGACTGCTTAAACAGCTGGTGTTTCTGCTCAGGCTGGTTAGAGCTTTCCATGGCTTCACACCCCCACCCCCACCGCACCCCTCCACACATGGGCTACTAGTGCCACTGCATTTGGGCCCTGTCAGCCGAGTGCCGAGAGCTGGACACAGGAGAGCCAGCTGTGTGCTGTGTAAAACAGCACGTGGAAGACCAGTGATGCTGGCAGTGAACGAATGTGGCAAAGCACAGACAGAGAGAATTTACTCTACTGCAAGAGACTAGGAGGCAACTTCGAGGAGGCGGGTGAGAGTCCTCTGTAGCGGTTGAGGGAAGTTACATGGTCTTATCATCTTGGGATTCACTTGAGTCTATATCTGAGGCATCAGGCAGAACTCTCGTTTTCTTAGGCAGTAGTGGTACACACCTTTAATACCAACACTTGGGAGGCAGAGGCAGGCAAATTTCTGTGAATTGCAGGCCAACCTGGTCTACAGAGCAAGTTCCAGGACATCTGGGGCTACACAGAGAAACCCTGTCTCCAAAAATAAAAAAACAAATAAAATAAAAATAAATTAGTGGATTTTACAGTAAAAGTTGTTTTTGTTGAGACCCCTCATTTATGTAAGATGTCATGGTCATTAGGAGTGAGGCTCCAAATAAATGGTCTTGGGCTGATTGTTAAAGTGTAGGACTTTTATTTTTGGCCTTTTGTCTCTACATCCCTAACCCCCATTCTAGCCCCTGGTAGATCAACAAGGTCAAACAAATCATTGACAAGGGACACAAATCTCACTTCTGGAGGGGCTTCAGGGGAAGGGGAAGCATTGCTGATTCATCATCATGGTTCCAGAACCACAATGCATAGAAGGCCCAAAAGGCATGCTGGAAATGGGAGGGGGTCGTTAACATAAGGTGTGGAAGGCCACACTGTGACACCATTTGGAGACCGAGAGGTCCTTGATGGTAGGAGACAGGTCTTGATGGCTGTTATCCATGAGAAAATGCCATCTGGAACTCAATTGGCTTGCAATCTGAAGGACATCAATAGTACCCAGAGAGCCAAAACAAGAGCCCAAAGCACAAAGCAGAATTAAGAAGGGAGCTTTAGGAGCCAAGGCAGTCTAAAGCCGTCTGGAGAAGTTTCCTCAGGAGTTGTCCTGGCCAGGTGTGTTGAATTCTGAAAGATACAAACGTTGAAGAAGGCAGGGACTGGAAATGCAGAGCAGGATAAGAAATCCTGTTAGAGGGACAATGGACATTGGCATTGAGAGGAAAGAGGAGGGCGGAAGGCCTGACGTAATGCTGTACCCGTTTCTCGAAACCCCCAGAGACCACCAAGGAGCCAGTTTCTGATGCAAGCACCTAAGGATCCTTTTATTGTCAGGTTCAACCTGGGCCACCGCAAGGCGAATGGAAGGAAATGTGGCGGCAACTGCGAGCCCAGGTGTAGAGAGTTTTTATAGGGAAAAACTGCAAGCGGGGAATTACATGCTTGGGATTGGGTAGAAGGAATATGGGGCAAGGTGATTTTTTGAAACTATTGGTCTAGACTTCCAGAGTGAAGCCACATTTGAAACCATTGAGTTAGACTTTTGGTGGGAAACCACACCCAGCTGAACAGGATTATCTGGACTTTTCGACAGGATTATCTAGATAGCTTCAAGGGCCATAAACCACAGACAGAATGTCTGCTGGAGCATACTGCCCTGCATCTGTTCGAGTTGTCATGGCACATTCCTGAGGTCCTTTCTGGAACTGAATACAGCAGGTGGTACAATATGGTGGCCCTACCCTTAGATGGGGTCTGTATTGCCTTCACAGCAAGAGGAAACCTTCACCTGCTAGGGAAATTGGTAGGAAGGTAAGAACTTGTGCCATGGGGACAGAGAATTTGGATTCCATTTTTCCTTCAGAAACCTCTCTAAGGCAGGGAAGACTCAAACCAGGAAACAGACTTAGATATGGTCAATTCATGGGAAGAGGCCTAACTTAACATCAGTGCAGCCATGACAGGCTGCAGACTAACAATACTGGGACTAGGCTTCACCATTACAATAACCAGGAAAGGCACAAACTGTACCCTGTGGGAGACCAATTAGAACTGAGACAAACAAGTACTAGATGCTCCAAGACATAAAGGATAGCTTACATCACTTGTATATAGGTTGCCAATTTCCTTGCAGCAACACCAGTACCAATCTGTTTGACAAGACTTCTGTTACCTCACTCCTGTCCAATCAGGAGTTCAACCCCCATCCGAATCCAGAATTCCCTTACCCCCGATCCTTCACTCCTTAAAGACCCTGCCATAACTGAGCTCAGTGCTCCCCCTGATCCAATTGCTGGGTCAGAATGGACAGGAAGCCCAAGCTCAGGCTTGCAATAAAGGCTCTTTGCTTTTGCATACAAACTCGGACTCCTAATGGTCTCTGGGGGACTCATAACGGGCATAAGACATGTCTGTCAGTTGCCCATTGATGTCCTGAGGAATGGCGGGGGGGGGGGCAGATTCTCTGGGGTCTGAGACCTGAAAGAAGAATTAAGATACGTATTTTGTGGACTGCTGTAAAGTGCAAATGAGGCCTGTGGTTGGCCATGAGAAACCCAGCTGTGATGGAGGGTGATGGAGCTCTTTTCCAGTACTAGACACTGAACAGAGCTGGATGGATTTTATATACTCAGAGCCAGGCAAATTAGTTCTGAGAGAAGGATAAAACATCTTGAAGGGATTTCTGTCTTTCAAGAAAGGATTTGTCTGGTAGGACAAATACAGGTGAACTTAGATGTTAGGAAGACACCTCCCATTCGAACAAGTCCAGAGCTGTGTGCCATGGACAGGAGTTACTGACCTGAAGATGGCCCCTTGTTATGACCTCCATTGGTTATCTGTCTATGGTAGTTTGCAGGTAATTAGCCCTCATAATCTCATAAGGAGTAGCACTATTAGGAGGTGCGGCTTTGTTGGAGTGGGTGTGGCCTTGTTGGAGGAAGTGTGTCACTGGGGGGGGGTGTCTTTGAGGTTTTTCTATGCTCAAGATACCACCCAGTATCTGAGACCAGTTCCTGTTGCTGCAAGATATAGGACTCTCAGCTACTTCTCCAGCATCTTGTCTGCCTGCACACCATCATGTCCCACCACGATGATAATGGACTGAACTTCTGAACTATAAATGAGCCACCCCAATTAAATGTTTTCTTTATAAGAGTTGCCATGGTCATGGTGTCTCTTCACAGCATTGGAAACCCTAACTGAGACACTGCTTTAATGGGCTCTCTTGTTTCTCTTTGAGCTCTGGCTGGACAATAGCCTACACTTTCCGGAGGTGAGCCCAGTTAGCATTTTCATGGAGTTTGATGGCTGTTGGGTTGCTTGGTAAGACTGAGAGAGGTGTAAGACTGAAGCTGGTGATCCTAATGACTGTTTTTGTATTTTTAGGATTGCCAAGTCCCATGTCTGAACAGGGTCAGGAAGGGAATCTGACTCAAATTTTGTTTTTTAGTGTTACTTATTATTGTTATTATTTGGTTACATGTCCCTCCTGGATTCAAGATTAGGTAGTTGAACAAAACTCATCTCTTTCCTCTGAGCTGTGAAGGTCGGGTGAGACTCTGTGCAGGTTACTCACAGGGATGTATAAGGAGAATTCCAGAATTTTCTTTCTCTTCTACCATTTCTACCATTTAGATCAGGGTCTTGTTGACCATGCGACCATCCCTGGACACTTAGGAGACATTTTTTTGTCTAGTGACTCTCCTCTTTAAAGGATATGTCTGCTGTTTGGAGTCCAGCTCTTGGGATCAACACAACCTCTCTGATCAAAAAGAAAAGTAACTTACCAGAAATGCAGGGCTCTTCTAGCCAAGTCCTCTAATTCCCTGATGCCTTTGGAGGACAATGACCAGAACATTAAAAGTCATTTTTCTTCTTCTTTTCATCCTCTTGGGCTAGGCCTTCAGGCTTTGGTTGCTGAACAACCAGACAGACTCTTCTTTTTTTTTAACCTTAAAAAATAAATAATGGGGGCTGGAGCGATGACTCAGCAGTTAAGAGCACTGGTTGCTCTTTCAGAGGACCCGGGTTCAATTCCCAGCACCCACATGGCAGTTCACAACCGTCTGTAACTCCAGTTTCAGTGGATCCAACACCCTCATCCAGACATATGTGCGGGCAAAACACCAGTGTATCTAAAATAAAAATAAATAGGTAAATAAATAAATAAATAGGTGAATAAATAAATAAAACCTTTAAAAAAATGGATTTTAGTTTGAACTTTTGAGTAAGCATTTAGACAAGCTTTAGCCAAAAACTAAAAATAAAAGTAAGTCCTGATTCTGTTACGACTCAGCTTTTTAAGTAGCTGAAAGTTGGCAAACATGGCAGAAAACATGATTATCTTGATAAAGCACAAACTCTTTGCTTTTTAAGGTAGTTTGTGTAAACATTACCAAGAACAGATGAATACCTTAAGCAAATCTCCCTGTGTTAAACAGAATTTGAACCTTAGAAGTTAATGAGCTTTAACCATATGTACACACTACCTTTGGGTTTTATCTTTCACAAAACTCCTGTGACCAACTTGGACCTTTTGTAATGCTTATGTTTTTTGGCTTTGTGTTAAGACTTTTCTTTTTTTGTTTTTGGAAAAATTTAGTCAATTTACCTTAGGCCAAAATCTTACTTTAGTTTACAAAAATACTTTCCTATCACAGCATCTTTCATACTTACATGCTTTTTATATCTCCCTTCTACTCATTGGCTTTTAACATTTTTTAGCATTGTGAGACAAAGCAACATAGCAAATAAATCTACCAACTCAGTAAAAGGATTGAATCTAAATTATATTCATGGTGTTTATGGCATGGTGTGAGTCTAAGCTTACCTGCTCACTTATTGTTAAAATATCAGTGAAATTTGTATGCCCTGTAGGTTTTAGGAGGAGTTTTTGTGACTTCAAAAGGCTCTTTTGTAAGTCCTTTCCTGGTCTTAAGAACCTGAGAATTACTTTTCAGTAAGATCCCAAGTAACAAAAGTTTCAAATTAAATGACCTTGAATTAACAAAAATATCTTAATTAGAAAATGCAGGAGAAAAAATATACAAACAAAAATCTTTATTGGTTAACTCTATAACTGTAGTTTGGGATACAAAAGGATTTGTCCCAGGCTGGTGACATGGCCCAGGCTGGTGACACTGCCTAGCAGGTCAGAGTGCTTGTCGTACAAGTCTGATAAGCTGAGTTCAAGCCCTGGTTCCCTCAGGAAAGCTCATGCTGATGTCAATCTCTAGGCTCGGGGAACACATTCCCAAGTCCCCATATTTGCCAAGATGGTATGAGAGAATACTCCTATTTTATCAAGCATTCTTTCATTCCTATAAATGTTTATTTACTGTGTATGGCGTATGTGTTTGTGTGCAGTGTTTGTGTGTGTGTAAGCATATGCACGACAGAATCGGCAAATGCAGACACCATGGCTGTTCACAGATGCTTCTTAAGGTTGTTTTTGAAGTCATACCCTTCCATAAACCCCAAAGCAAGATGAGTGTAAATAAAATGGAGTGTGGCCATTGGGCGCAGGTTGCACTCTTGACTGAGAAGGAGGCCATAGCTCAGCACCAGAAGATGACAGCTGCCGTAAAGAAGCATAGACCCAACAATGTCCAGACATAATGATCCAGCAGAGGCCACTGATCTTGATTTTGTTCAAATATAAGAACTACCATTCTTTAAAAAAAAAAATCCACTGTTCTGAAAACACAGACTACAAAGTAACTGTGAGCATAGTTGTCTTAGTTAGGGTTTCTATTGCTGCGAAGAGACACCCACCATGACCACAGCAACTGTTATAAAGGAGAACATTTAACTGGGATGGCAGCTTACAGTTTTAGAGGTTTAGTCCATTGTTATCATGACAGGACAACAGCAGTGTGCAGGCAGACATAGGAAGCAAGTGCTGGAGAAGGAGCTGAGTTCTACATCTTGATCCAAAGGCAACAAGAAGTGAACTATGTCACTGGGCATAGCTTGAGCATAGGAGACTTCAAAGCCCACCCCCACAGTGACACACTTCCTTCAGCAAGGCCACACCCACTCCAATAAAGACATACCTCCTAATAGTGCCCCTCCCTATGAGCTTATGGGGGCCAATTACATACAAACTACCACACTAGGATAGAACACATTCCTCCCTTGAGATTGCGTGTCCTGTGCTGAGGAATGAGAGAGAGGCTAGACACTGAAAGCTACTTGGCTGGTCAGCAAATGACAGAGCTGGGCCTGAGTTCAACTGCAGCATTCGTCACTCTTTGCTGGGTTCGGTCTCCCAGTGCTCTAGGCAGGATTCACTCTGGGCTCCCCTCTACAAAGAAAAGAAGAGAAAGTGACTTGTTTTAAGGACTGGGAGCATAGCTCAGTGACAAGGCAATTGTCTAATGGGCATACAAGGCCCTGGGTTTAATCCTTGGCACCAGGACATTGAAAAAAAAGGAGAACAGCCAATTAGTGATGGCACACACCTTTAATCCCAGAAGAGGCAGAGGCAGGTGGATCTCTGTCCATTTTAGGCCAGCCTGGTCTACAGAGTGAGTTCCGGGACAGCCGGGGCTACACAGCGAAATCCTGTCTCAAAAAACCAAGAGGGGGAAAAAAAAAGGGAGAAGGAAGAAAGTGTAAAACTTGGACGTTCTCATTTGTTGTTGCTGTTATCTTTAAAAAGGGTTCACAATAAAGATTGGTGGCTTCCCTACCACATCTTTCATTATGAGCTTTCTTATGACAGATTGTATTTTTAATTCCTAATGATATGGTGAAAAAATTAATATGATTGGGGAGCTAGAGAGATGGCACAACAGCTAGGAGCACTGGCTGCTCTTGCAGAAGACCCAGGTTCAATTCCAGGCACTGACATGGTGGCTCACAACCGTCTCTAATCCCAATTCCAGGGGATCTGGTGCCTTCTTCCGGCCTCCAGGGGCATCAGGAACCTGTGTGGTGCACAAACATACAAGCAAGCAAAGCATCCATGCACATAAAATAAAATGAATGAACCCTTTTTAAAAGTCTCATGCCAATATTGCTCAAAAGTTGACTTTCTTTACAGGGTTGTCACATTTTCCTATTACCCTGATACCAGGGGAAACAAGCACAATCTTTCAAGATAGAGATAAATTATTTCTGGAATATATTTGTTTAAGATCTTGGAAGAGGACAATGTTATATGTTGTATTTGGCAACAATATATTACTCATGTGCCAGATAGGTGTAAAGAACTTTTTAAATCCCCCTTTACTATTATTCCCTGGAGACTATGCTTCCCTGCTGAAATGAACTCAAACACTCAACATTGTAAGCAACATCCCTCTTTCTTCTCTGGAATAAGCACAGCTGTGTGCCAGAACCCAGGGCTGAAACCTTGTGACAATGTTCCAGTCCATGGCACCATAGTCCAGGCCCTTCCATCACTGTGGTCTGTGGTACAAACATCAGGAGGAGTGGATGGAGGTGGCTGGACCTGCTTGCCTTCTCCCTCCTCCCCCTGACATGGAAGTGGGACCAGAAATGGGATATATCAGTTACTTTTTTCACTGCCATTACAAAACACCTGGGAACAGTAATTTGAAGAAGGAAGGGCCCTGATTCAAGAGGAGACACAGCCTATCGTGGAAATGTGACAGAAAACCGAGGTAGCTGCTCGCCTCCACAGACAATCAGGAAGCAGAGAGAGATGACTGCTGGCCCCCAGGTGACTTCCTCCTTCTATCTTTTTATTCAGTCCGTGGTACCACCGACTTTCAGGGCAGGTCTTCCCTCCCTAGCTGTCTGTGTCTCCTTGATGACTCTGAATTCCATCACGCTGACAATCGAGAGTAACCACCGCAGGGGAGAGATAAGCAAATGTCCTCCGTCCCTTTCTGGAGTCTGAACGTGAAGCACAGAAACCCAGCAGCACCTACCTGGAGCTAGCCACTCAACCGCAAGTGGCCTCAACTCTGGGGAGCCCTGGGGCCATGTCTTCAAAAGCAAGTGTTAGCTTTTGGGGAACTGAAGCATAGGGTAAGCCAGCTTACCTCTAGACGCCCCACTTTCTGGCTGTGTGCCTTTGGATGCAGCGCAGAGCTTCACTCATCTCTTTAAGGTAATAATTGATGCTGCCACTTTGGGTAGAGGACGAGACGAGTAGACGTTTGCACACAGAACAGGGGCACCTCCTGTAGTGTGTAGTGGAGTAAGCGTGGCACGGTGTGGGAACTGGTGCTCTGAGGTTACAACTTGGTGTGGTGGTTTGAATGAGAATGGCCCCTATAGGCTCATAAATGTGAGTGTTTGGTCCCCAGTTAGTGGAACTGTTTGGGAAGGATTGGGCGGCGTAGCCTGGTTAGAGGAAGTGTGCTACTTGGGGGGAGGGGTGCACTATGATGTTTCAAAAGCCCATGCCATCCCTAGGTAGCCCTCTCTGACTCCTGCTTGTAGATTAGATGTAAGCTCTCAGCTACTGCTCTAGTTCCATGCCTGCCCGCTGCTGTGCTTCCTGCCACAGCGCTCATGGACTCCCCCTGAGACTGTAAGACACAATGAACTCTTTCTTCTATAAGGTGCCTTGGTCGTGGTGTTTCGTTATGGCAACAGGAGAGTAACTAAAACACCAGGGCTTTCCTCGTATGAGTTACAAACCTTGTACTTCCTTTTTTTTTTTTTGTAACTTTTTTTTTAAATGTGCATTGGTGTATCAAATCCCCTGGAGTTGGAGTTACAGACAGTGGTGAGCTACCACATGGGTTCTGGGAACTGAACCTGGGTCCTCTGGAAGAGCAGCCAGTGCTCTTAACTGCTGAGCCATCTCTCTTGCCCTGTAAACCTTGTACTTTCTCCCCCCCAGATTGGAGAAGATGGTTTTCCCAAGAGTTCCAGAGACCTGACTGGCCCTTGACTGGTCACCACACGATGGCCTCTGCGTGCACTTCTGGACCCTGGAAACAAGTTTTGCTTCTTCTTTCTGTTCAAGCATGAGTGACATCACCACCCCAGTCCTTGTGCCAGGAAGGGCACAGCGGGTGCCTTGCAGAGTCCCCCACGCATTTCCAAGACATTGCCCAAGGCAGACACCACACCTCCAAGCAAACAAAGGTTGGGCAGCGCTTTTCTGAAGAACTGTTGACACAAAGGACACTGTGCACTGGTGACAACCCAG